TTGTTACATTTAAACAAAATACTTAAGTATAATTTTATAATTAGAGATTATAAAATTTCAGATTCGTGATGTATCTGTAGGTTAAAAAACATTTTTTTTCTGTCTTCCAAAACGTTGTACCGTTTTTAAAAAAAAATACCTTATTTCTTTTCTTTCCTTGGCAGACTGAAGGTCAAAGCATCACCTACAGCAATATTGTAACTGCCTTGCCAGCGGGCGTTATAATCACCCACCAAAAGAAAGTTGAAATTGTTGCAAAATGTATAATGGAAAACAATTCAACGGTAGAAGTTGTGTATGTAACAGAAAGTGAACATTTAGACAACACAACGGCTGTAGGTAGATACAATCTCAGCATGTCGTTCTATGAAACAGACTCCTTCTCCAAACCCATAGTTGAAACTCCCTACTTTGTCGACTTGAACCAAATGCTCTATGCACAGATCAGCCTACATTCCAGTGATCCAAATCTGGTAGTATTTGTGGATACTTGCACTGCATCTCCAGATCTTAATTCTAAATCACCAAAATATGATTTAGTTAGAACTGGGTAAGTATATTCACTGCTAATTACCATTAGGATTGACTGTAACTATAAACTTAGCTGTATTATGATACATGGAACTGATGTAAATTCCTTCATAGAGGAAAAATAGGACAAAAGTTTCATATTATATTACATACATTACTTAATTATTTAGATTAAAGGTATCTGAATGACATCTAAGTACTACTTTTGTTTATAGTCAATCAAGTTCATTCTGTCTTCCTCCTTTACATATATTTAAGTCTGCTCACAAGACTCCAGGCATTTGATAAAATAGATTAATAACCACAAGTATATAAATTGTAATACATCTCACATGGCTTTATTTTACATATGCAACAGACTAACAGGAGTAACCTTCTGGACAGAATATAAGTGGAGCTAACTATAGATTGAAAGAGTCCATGTGTCAAAGGAAAGTAAAGAAATAGATGCAGGATTGAAACATATTTTTTTTGCCTTAAAAGCACCTATTTACAAAGCAGTTTCTGGTAAGCATAATATATGAATGCATATTAAGTTCAAGTATTAATCATGCTAAAATAATCTGAATATTCTATTTCAGATGCACTAAGGACGATTCTTTTATGGCCTATCCCATCCTTGAGCATTATGGAAGATTTAGGTTCAGATCCTTCAGATTTCTAAAACATTACCCATCAGTTTATCTTCACTGTGAAGTTTTAATTTGCGACAGCAAGAATTCTAATTCTCGCTGCACCAAAGGTTGCATTTCTAGGCATAAGAGAGAGATTTCCTCCTACAAATGGAAAGGCGATGCAGTGATTGGACCCCTCAGACTGAAAGGAGAAGAAAGTTCCATGGATCGATCAGGTGAGAATGTTTTCTTGGAACTGACTACATTAGCAGATTTAACAGGTTTCATTGGCAACCGTTTAAGAGCACCTTCAATATTATAAATAGCAAGCAAATCATGTTACCATTGAACTGCAGACAAGCAGAACTGCCAGTACTCCATTTCTAGCCAATCAATCAAAATACTGGTTAAAAAAAGGAAATTTTTAGCCAACAATTTTCAAGATTTTATTTTTAAAGTATTGTTCCATGATTTTGGAATTTGCAAAGACCTCGTAACCTCCTTTTGTCTTCTGTTTTGTTTTTTTTATATTCAGCCATTTCTAGTGAAGTTTATCCAGAAGAAAGTCTTAAAGCACAGCCCCAAATCCTATATATCCTTGCATTCGTTGTGTTGGCCGCAAACACAGTACTCCTGGTTGGTCTAGCAGCCAAGCGGCTCATCGCTCGAGAAACCGGATACAGATACCAGAAACTGAGTCACTAACAAGGATCTTCATCTGACTGTTTCACATCTACAGAGATATGAGTGGAATGTTCTGTTGTCTTTCCATGATTTTTCTCTTAAAAGGACAATTTCAATTAAAATAAATGAATTAAACAGCATTAAACTCATCTGGAAGGGAAATAGCCAAATACAAAACATACATACATCCAGTTACATCAGATACCACCACCACCACCCCCGGAAATTGAGGAAACTTATGGTCATAAATATGATTCTTCTCTTTCCACACTTTCTTCTTCTGGTGAATTTTTCAGGAGACACAGATGGCTGTAGGGAAGAAAATGGCCAGGAATATTCTCCTTCCATGAGCTCCTTCATGTTAAACTTATTTTTAGGCAAACTCTTTAACCTTCTGTGTTTATATATTAATACACAAACATTTAAGGAAACTACTGAAAGTGTACATGAATAAATCATTCGAGGCAAAATAGTTCTTGATGTCAGAAATCATTTGATTCTATTGCTGTACTGCAAAAATTCATCCTATGTATAATATTTACCAATGAACCATTGTCAAATAGAGTTAAACATATACAAAATAAGATCAGAGTAAATACATTTTTGAAATATCTAGTAGTTCTATATGGATAACAAGATCGGATACAGAATGTGTCAATGACTCCTTTCCCTTAATTAATCTGCTTTTTTTTCTAAGATTGAAGATTAATTTAGAATTCAGAATGAATGGATGTAATTTAATTATTTTATGTGAAATTGCCCTATAATAGACTATAAAAATCTTCTTAAATGTTGATAAAGCTGCAAAGCACTTTATTTAGAATGGTTCAAAATAATTTAGTAAGACACTTTATCATGCCCAAAACTTATTTTTAAATAGTTACGAATAAATAGGTCATAAGCAGATGTAGAAAATACTCTCAAATGTAAAAAAAATACTTATTTTGCACATTACGGATATAGAACAATTAACATTAGCATATAATACTTGCAAAATTACAGAAAAAGTACAAAATCTGAGGTGTAAATGTTTACAAGCTTATAAGCAAAAAGTTTGTAAAACAGACCCGGCCTTATAAAACATATTGGTGATTTTTATAAGTATTTCCTACCTCTTCCCATCTGTGATTTCTTCTTTCAAAGGACCACATTCTTGAGAAACAATATGCAAGTTATTAACCAAATCCATGACTGCGGCAAGTTTATTATCAACATGTTCCTGAAGTTTTTGCATACGTAGGTCAATATAATCCATTAATCTCTTCTCTGTCAGGTCGATTTTTTTGGACATGAACTTTTCCAAATACAGACAAATATGCTGCTGTTCTAAACTGCAGAAAAGTGCAAACAACAAAAAAACTGATCCATGCTATCCAAAAGTATAAATTATGTACCTTAAATGGCATGAATTTAACAAATACCCCAGTAGAATATCTGACAATGAACAATCAAAATATGAAAATCTTCCAAAGCTAACACTTAATAGTACACATAATTAATATTAATAATTTAGAAATCTTAAATGTGTCTTTTTAAATGTTAAGCGGTATCATCTACCACTTTCTAGTTGGTCAAATGAGTAGATTTATTAAATTAAGTCAATCAAATACCTCTGGTAAGGCAGGAAGCAAAATATGGTTATAGCCACTTAAGGCAAACAATTTTTCAGTATTTGAGTACAGATAATTATTACACTACATTGGAACTGGAAGAGGACACTATCATGTTTCAATATGAATTCTGTGAATTATTGTGCCCAATGCTGTAGTGTGCTTCTACAAGTTTGTTGGATTTTTATTACTGATGTATTATTTCATGTTCTTAACACTGTGAGCTACTCACAATCACTTGATAAGTGGACCCCCATATAAGCTGAATGAGCAAATAAATACCTTTCTTTTCTGTGATTTCATGCCAGCATCTTAAAACTGATTTAAAGAGATAATTTAGGGAACCAGTAGATATTCAGAAAATAACTGCCTAGTTAACTAGCTTTCAAATTCAATCTTTTGTATAGTTCCTGCTATTAGAGTGCAAAGATTTATGGAAAGTGAACCATTCAGAAATTAGCAATTTGAGTGATCTCAACTTTAATGTATTAAAAAAAAATCCAGCTAAATTTAAACTCACCCAATGATGAAAGGTTTTGTTAACAGTTACCTAGTTCAACTGCCTGGTAAAATTTACCTTATTTTTTTTTTGAAAGAGGCATTTTGAGACCAATTTTAAAAATGGATATTTTTTTTCAATACAAACTCACCCAACAGTTTGAATTCCATCTTTCTGGGAAGCAAACTTTTTTTCACAGCATTTATCCTTTTCATCTATGGATAGGCGATCTACTTGACCACATACTGTTTGAAGAAGTGGAAGCAGCAATGTGGAATTAGGTACATTTGAATTTTCACTTCCTTGTTTTTGAAAAAATGATGCCAGCAATGCTTTACAGTCACTTTCAGAATGTACAGTACAAGACTGAAGTCCAGGGAGCTCAAATATATTACCTGTAACCTGTTTGATTATCTTGGAGTGGGCATTCAAATCTTCTGCAACTGTTTTAGCTACCAAATTAGCTTTTAGAAGAGAAGGTCCATTGGATAAGTGGCCTAACCGTTCAAAGTCAGGTGCCTCTTTCAATCCATCAATGGGATGATTTTTTCCACACACAAAGCCATTTCCTCCTAAGATGTTTTGTAACTTGCCTCCAAAAGAAATTCCATTCTAATAGAAATAAAATTCATGGTCTCATTAATTTAGATATACTGTATAACCCAATAAAATAATTGTACAATTTCTAATCAATTTCCAATAGTATCTTTTGTATATTGCAGACTCACATT